CCTGATTCCAAACAAAACCTTCTTCACTTGGTATTTTCAACAGGGTATTGGGACAATATTTCATCTACTACGCACCTCATTTGCCTCCGATTTATCGAAACCGACGATCAAAAATAATATATTTGAACAAATTTCCATTGTAATGACATCCTCATCGCAGATTAATTGACTGAACATTACCCTGAATTCGGTGCTGGGTAAGAATTCGTGAGCGCCAATAAGTTTCAAAAGTATCTATGCAGAAATAAAAAATAAATAATTCATGAAAAAATTGGAAATCATAAAATCCATAGATTTACATACCCCGATTGGCTCTTGAAAGTAAGCCAAAAAATCCACCACCGGACTTTTGCTGTGCTTTATATAGGCTATAGGCGCCAATGCCTGCATTGATATAATCTTGTCACTATATTCGGGACGCTCGCTGCACATTATCCAAAAGGTCATAGTGCCCTGTGAGTGTCCAATGTATTGTAGTCGCTCTTGGCCCGTCTGCGCCAATATGTAATCAATGCTGGCCGGTAAATCATATTTGGCAATTTCATGGAAGGTAAAATCCCAGAATTTCGCATGTTTCGTACTGTACTTGGTGTGATTGCGCGAATAGGTGTTGCCGCGCACATTCGGCATCCATACATCATAGCTGGAATTGTAGAGGAGATAGGCTGGAATGCAAAAAAAGTAGTAGAAGTAGTAGTGAAGTTGTCGATTACTGAATTAAAGCGTATCAGTTATGGGTGCAATCTCCACTGTGAGGGTATTTTGGATACATATGTACATATATATGTATATGTGTAAATATTAATATCACTTAAGCTCTTCTTTCTCTTCTCTTCTGTCACTGAGCACTGCTTCTTTAGCTTCACAAATCATGCTAGGTACAATTTATAACTGATTTGAGTTAAGCAAATATTTTAAAGAAGCTTAAAAGCCTTCAAAAAGGCAATTTTTTCGATTGCGAAAAAATATTTTAAACAAAAAACCGCTTTATAAAAAATTAATGTAAACTAATGACTAAACAAGTCATTGTCATTAGCTGAAGTTTTTAGGGCGTGGGAAAAAATAAAACAATGAAGCACTATTAAGGCGGGGAAATATGCCTCAAAAGGCTGAAATAAATAATAAATGAATTAAAAATTTGGATTTTCTTTCGATTTATCTTGTCCCATCTCTTGTCAATGCTTGTCCCATTATATATACTTGTATGCGTACGTATTTGAATCGCGATTAGTTAAGTGGTGGCCTTAAAACCTTAAAAATTGTTCCCGTTTTTTAGTACTAACTAGCAAATACCCAGCGTGCTTCACTGCGCCCTAATTGTATTTTTGTGCTGTTTGATACACGTTTTGTAATATTTCATTTATTTATCAATTCAATAGAATACAGTTTTTCAAACAGGTGGCAACCCTACTCAAAAATATTTTCTGCTGTAATTTTTCCTAAATCTCTTCAGTTTGATGCCCATATTGCAATATTCAATTTATCTTATCAATTAAATTGAATTACAGTTTTCAAACAGGTGGCAACCTTCGACAAAAATATTTTCGACTGTAAGCCATCTCAAACCTCTTTTTTTTGGCAGCCATATTCAAATATTTACTTCATCTTATCAATTTACTTAAAGTGCAATTTTCAAAAAGGCTTGCAACTCTCTGATTTTTTTCTTTGCATATTTTAAGTTAGACCTCTCTAGGATTACATCGGAGAAAACTTCATTTAACTCCATGTATGTATCCCCAATAAACATTTTGGCGCACGTTCGAAAATGACCATCGATATCCAATACGAATATCGAACAGAGAGCCAACTCATAACCAACCTTAGTTTTCCAACGTTCCTAGTATATTGGAAATACACTCGAGATGGGTTCGAAAAAATATGGAAACCATAGTAACAAGAGCGAACAAGAGTGAAATCCAGTTCATTCTTGAAGGGAAATATAAGAAAATCACTCCCTCTCATTAAAATTCCAATTCGATAATGGGCTGGATATCGAATTCTTAACGAAAGAAAAATTCATTGGATAACGAAGGTTCCGTTTTGCTGGAGAATGGCCTAGTTCTCGAATCGAATACTAACCTATTTCACATTCGTTATCGAAGGTGAGACTCGAAAAAAGATTGGTTTTCCAATCATTTTCGAATTGTAAACCAAGCCGAATGTTTATTGGGTTAGTTTTCGAGTGATGCGCGTACAAACATACAGACATATAGACAGACAGACAGATAGACAGACAAATATGCTAAACAATTTTAGATTTGGCTTCTATTGCTCTAATAAAGACCCCCCTAATTAATTTTTCTTTAAAATCTATAATGTACAGACATCGGCCTATTACAAAATCATGTAATGTTATACATATGTAGGCCGTAGAAATAAGTTCTTTTATTTATAGTTCTAACCTCTTATAATCGAGTAGAAAGTCAGAAGAGGGCTTTGATTTAAGTTCCTTAGTTTTCATTCAGTAAATATATGTAATCCCGATATGACTAACAACTGTATTTACTTAACACAGCGGAATGGCAAATTGAAAGGAGATAGCTCCTCGAGTACCAGATCAGACTGCATTGAACCCCAGGTTTACCTGAAAAAGCTCGCACCTCTCCGAAAATTGTCAATAAATGTAAATGGAAGCTAAATTGGCTGGAACTTATGTCAAGTTTCCGATAAATGTTCTTCAGGAACCGTTGGGCCGTGTAAATAATGGAGGCTTAACATCTGAGGTCCAACAACAACGACAAAAATAATTTTGTACGGCATTATCTGTATCCACTATCGATTTCAGAGAAGCTTGCATTTTTCATTGATTTAGGAGTAACAATGAACGGGGTGGGATGTTTGTATTCTTTAAACGATGGGCTAAGTAGTACAATGATCCTTAAGTCACCAAAACACTCTTTACCCCTTTAGTCAGAGCAATTTTAGAATATGCGTTCATTATATGGAGCCCTAGATATCAAACTTATTGCGACAGAAGAAGTATTAGGACCAGTTTCTCAATGTCTGGTTAACACTAATTATAGGTTAAACATTGTTAACGAGTCCCCTTTGTGTGTTATGGAGTCGATAACGATGTTTAACGTGCAGTTACGGTTAACCAGTCATTGAGAAACTGGCCCTTAAACCATACAATGACCGCCTGAAGCTTATTAATCCGCCTACGCTTCATAGCCGCAGAGAGCTGCTTGGTGTTTTGTTTACGGTAAAGTTAATGAATGGGCTGGTTAACAGTCCGTCTTTGAGATTAGCTGGTTGACATTAATCTTCGGTTAAACATCGTTATCGACGTCTTCGACTCCCTGCATGTAACAGGGCGTCGCTAACGTGCGCTTGAAGTAAGCGTAATTTCGACATTCAACTAAAATATGTTTTTTTTTTAGATGATCATTCAAAATGATTTCGAAGACGTAAACGCAAGATTCAGTATTTGGGTTGTTCTACCAGTTTCGACAGCAACGCCGGAAAGCCCATTTTTCACACCCAAAAGGATCAAATCATTTGCGAAGTACGATTGGCTAGGAACGTTTGAAAGGACTTGTATCATTGTGTCATTGAGTAAAATCGCAAAAAAAAATACCACCATTGGGGGTTTCGTGAGACTGGGGTTAGTAACGATTTCTTGATCTTAGAAAAGTTAAAGTTTTCTCCACTTCCCGCGTGGTCACATTCATATCCAAGCTCATTTAATCACTCAATAGCCTTTATGACAATGTGACGAGGAGTGTTAAAAAAAAACCAAATGTTCTTTCGCTTGGCTTATTGAAACCTTAACTTATTTCCCGTATTTGCCACTAACAACTAAAACACTGATCCGAGAAGTTGATTGCACTTAAAGATCTATAGTTTTCTTTACGTTAGAGTACATAACACCTTGGTTCCATTAATTTTGGTCACCCAGTACATCCTACAAAAAATATAATATTTTTACGTAGACACAACTTACCTAATCCCTTATCGGGCCCCATCATCACCCATGTCGCTGACGAATCCAATAATCCATGCATTAGCAACACTGGTGTGGCGTCTTTCCTAACGATGCGATGCAACTCCAAAATGTAACCATCATCTGTGATGGTGTGATGTATTTCAGAGGGAAATCCGTATTTGTTTATTAACTCCGGCTGTTTGAAATTCGTAAAGAGAAACACACTCAATCAATATTCGCAATATACACAATGCAGATGCCACAATTTTCTCATTACCGTTGTCAAATGCGAATCCTCTAACACATTTGGATCCACGCGCGAATGAAAATCCACTGTATTTAATAGATTTTCGGGACCTACACCAACCGATTTCAAAAAGGAACGACCAAGTTCCGGTATATTGAAGAGTGAAGTAGGGCCCAAACTCAATGACCACAGACCCGACTGGGCTGCGATGTGCGGTAGAGAGCAGGCGCTGAACGCAAGGAGAGTAAACACAAGATGCTGCACGCGTGACATGTTGCGGACGGCGCGACGTACAAAAGTAAACTGAGCGCGCGCGCAGCACGAGATCAAGACTCGATCAAGCAAACAAGAAGAGTAGTTATTGTGTTTGAGCTGTGTGTGTGTGTGGCTTGTTGTGGTCGTAGTTTATCAGCTTGAAAATTTTGTGCGCGTCCAACAAAAGGGGGCTCGACGCGTTGCGTTTTACGTTGGTCTGCACTGGGTGCTTGGAGTACGCGCGTGTTATTCAATAGATATCACCGCTTAAAAGTAAAAATATTTCACTTTTGAAACAAACGAAATAAACTCAAAAAATAGGCTCCCAGTATTTTTCACAACTTCACTGTTGGACGATTACGCGTCGAATGCGCTGCTGGCTGGCTAGGCGTTTGGCCCCACAGAGCGTGACACTGACCAATATAGGTATGTAGCACCTAATAAATGGTTTCACACAAATGGCGTTGTTGTTGTTTTTGTCGTATTATTTTATTAATATATACATTGTAAATTCACGCTGCTGATAAACAAAAGTGCTGGCTATTCGAGTTCACTCTCTTATCAGCGATTGGCATGACGCACAAAGGCAAATAATTTCCGTTCCGATCGTAAATCAGGCGGCTAATGCTCGGTGCGCGGCGGGGTGCGTGTGCGTCCTATAACACTTGCGTTTTCAATCTCGACTTGAGCGCAAATAATGCGAAATCAATTGGTAAATATTTTACAACGTTCGTTCTTCGCGGGCGCCAGCTGCAGACTGTCTTCGAATTAGCGCTTGCTTGTAGCATCTACTCAACCGCGCAGTGGCTTGAGATGAAGATTCGCGCGCACTCTTGCCGCTCAAAGCCACTGAAGCGTATCAAATGTGGCTGGCTGCAACATGTGGCTGGCAACATTTCGCGCGCGCACACGCCTTTGTTCGGGTGCCAGCGGCAACGATTATCACTTTTTTTTATTATTTCGAATCGGAATTTCGAGCGCTGCTTACTGCGCTGTTCGCGATTATGAAATAATTTTTTAATTTACTTCACCCCAATTGACTGCACCTCATTGCGGTTGGTTTGGCGAAGATTCTTAGCAGTTTCACTTTTTACTATAAGTTTTCTTTTTTTCTTCATATACCGGTGCATATTTTAGCGAATTTGGATGCCAGCGGTTGTAGGTACACCTTTGATGAAGTCCGGCGAGCAACTGACTAGGGGAAACTGTTTCTACCGACTCAAGTTCAAGTTTAGCAGCTACATATAAAAAGATTATGCCGACATGCATTATAAAAAATTTACATCTACAAACTATGTTTATGCCTTTGTACATACGTACTTATGTATGTATGTATATTATTCTCTCTGCGCTCACAGCTAAGCTTGGTTTTCATAAAAATCGCTGTAGAATTGCACTGCATAAATTTAAATTTATTTACTAACATCGCAAAGCAAATGTTTATGTAAATATCAGAGTAGTTTTAAATTTCGGTTGTTGAGGTTCGAATTTCCTATTCAACAAGTAAAAGCGGTGCTGTCTTCGCCTATGCCGACGGCTTCATACCTTTCATGAGCATCAGAAAATTTTACTTTAACAGATCACTGCATTTGAAAGTAGTTGTTTGGGAGCTAAACAAAAGTTTTATACTCACAACATATCGATGGCTGAGTGGAAGATCGACCTATCTCGGCTGCCTGTTCGAAAACGCCCTATCTCAGAAATTTTTCCAAGCATATTTCAGAACCCTTTTTAAAAACACCCTATCCCAGAATTTGGTTGAAGAACGCCCTATCTCAGCTTTCGATTCAAAGGCGCCTTATCTGAGCACATTTTAAATGTATTTTCGTTTGAGATAGGGCGTTTTTAAACCGATGTTGTGATCATATAAGTATACCTTTTCATGGATCTATCTCTTCTTATTCTTATACTTAAAAATATCGGACCAAAGTTGTACTACCATTTCAGAACATGAAAGGTATAAAAAGAGTGCAGAGTGAGAAAGTTCTTCCAACAAAGAAATCTCGTAGTAGGCTTCAAATTTTGCCTGGGTTAGGTTAGAAGTAGACGGACACGGATAGTGTTTACCTAATCTCAAAAGATTCTGACTTTTTTACAAAACTAGTAAGTTAGGTTAGAATGGATAGGAGAAGGGAATGGTAAAGGGAGTATCGGTCGATTGACCAACGACGCCTAAGGTTTTGTGGCAGAACAACGCTCCATGCTCACAGCAAAGCTTTGCCAGCGGCTAATCTCTACACCTGAAATCTGCTCGGGAGTGAGGCGTAAGGCCGTAAGCCAACGAAAGCTGTTCAGCTGTTTCCACTTCCACCATCCCCTACAGCCGCAGTAGGGACTTGAATAGATATTGAGCCTTATCGCATGAATCGCGATCAAACAATGACCATTTAAAACTAAACCGGGGCCAGAAGGACCTAGCCACTTTGCATATCAAGGTTCTCGCTCAGCGTTCGCTAAGCTAGCGAAAAGTCCATCAGCAGATCGTGGAGCCATTATCCTCGCCTTGTTCAGCGAGAGTTCCTCTTACTAGCGCATCGGTAATTCAGTTACCTGCAATGTCGCTATGGCCTGCATTTAATCCGATGCAATCGAGAAATATATAAGTCAGACATTCTCGGACCATTTTCTACGCATTATTATATAGTTGCGAGCTCTCATTTCTGCCTGTCTATTAGAATGTATCGACGGTGCATACATATAGAAAGGCGTGCGAAAGAGAAACCCGCGAAGAGATAGTTGACGGGGAAGGCATCCGCGATGTGCGAGATTTACTTATGCCGCTATCTGACGGTTTGCTAAACCGACTGGTATTAATTAGTGTATTTCGTTATACCAATTGATGGAGAGTTCCTCACAAAAGACATCTGCAACTACCTTTTTATCCAACTTCGATCCGTCCATCAATAAGTTTACATGGCCATGGTTCCAGATAGTACTCGCCGACCAGTCTGGAAGGGATGTGGGAGTTGAAAGATCCAATCGCACCCGAGTCAGCGCAAAGCACACAAACCGTAGTCTGCGACGCACAGTGCGCGAGTATGGTCAAAAAGATCAATATTTACAAATCTAAAAATTATAAACACTTATTTGCACATTGATAGCTAATAAAAGGCCGTGTCGATATGTACGAGTACATAAATACTGTCTATGGTTCTTGGAGTATTCGAGAGAAAGATTCTGTGGAAGATTTACGGGCCTTGGGCGTTGGCGGCGCAAGATGGAATGCTCCAGGCCCAAAAATATTCAACTCGATATCCGCTGCTGAGAGCAGGTAGAAATTGCTTAGGCGGTTACAGCGCCAATGAAGAAAGAAGAGTTTTTGGCCAAACAAAGCTATTACTCTGTGATCGACTCATTCATTCATAAGCGAAACGTATGTACCTCGCGTATCTTATGCGAGTAGAAGGCCTCTCTGATCGCCACTGTCAATGACCCAGAAAATGCTCACCTCTTTTTCAATAGTTGGTTAGCTTAAATTTAAACCTGATGAAGACACTATAAATATTTTGTGTGTATTGGCTGTTCGAACATGCTATACATAGAGTACATCTATATAAACATCATGGTAATTATTCATTTTTTTTTTATATCGCCCCAAAAAGATTAGACTTGATATTTTTAATTTAATAAAAAACAGTTTTTTTCACACGACAAAAGAGTAAAGCGAAATAAGCAAATCGAATGCGATGAATGGTAACATGACTAACGAATGTAAATAATTGATCGTTAACAGTGGAAATATATGCATGTATATAAATGCATATGTATGTATACGTTATTATCAAATTATATTTGTAAGTGCATGCAATATTAGGGTGGTTAATTTTTCGTGATTCATACAAAATTTTTATTCTTCGGATCGTTTTCGAAAAATAAAGAAGAATCAATAATTTTGAATTTTTCTGCACTTCATAGATGCTTTTTCGAATTCAGGACGGAATACGAATATGGGAGCACCTATAGCAGAACATTTAACACGTAAAAAATTAGAAAATTGTCTTTTTCTTATTGATATTTTATAGCCAAAAGTAGTTAGTTACAAGCTAGTTGACTCCTAATGTAGAGGAAAATAAAGTTGCTTAAAGTTTAAAATCTACAGACCGTATGTTGCCGGGGTCGGATTGTGGAAACACGTTCACATTTTGGCCCCTACTGAAGTCGGTTAAGGCTTGTCGCAAAGGGGTCAAAGTTCAGATAACCCTATGACGACGCCTTAGCCGACTTCAATCGGGACTAAAATTTATATGTGATATCCTCAACTTTAGTAGTATCGATTTTGGGCATTAAATGAAAAGAATATTTTTAATTTTTTGAGTCTCCATGAAGCATCTGGCCTTGGACCCCATTGCGACACGCCTTAAACGTATCCGATGGGGACCAGAATTTATATGTGATATCTATGACCGATTGAAGAGGTGAGACTGAAAAAATCGTTCATTTGATTTTTTTTAGGACCACCCTAATGCACGCATACTCCTTATAAGTCAGCAATTTAGTAATATGACTAATTTATTGAAAACAAAAAAATGCAGACTGCTTGGCCTTTCAGCCCTCCACTACTAGTAGTTATGTGTATGTATGTATGTATGTATGTAGCTCAGATATGAAGATTGCATTTAAGTAGTTCGCTGCGCAAGTAAATATAAGTATTTGATCAAGTATCATATATGTTTGTATTTAACTGCATAAGCAAAAAAGCTTCATTAACATTTTATCAGCTCATTAATACAAATGCCGCCATAGATGACTTCAAAGAGGGAAGCGTGAAATTGGGATTGAACTTTGTGCGCAAGTGACTAAACGCAATAAAAAAAAAACGATAGAAAAATAAATAAAAAGGTATAATTATAGACAAAACAAAAGTTGAAGCGATAATTACATGGATAGTTAAGTTGCATCTACGCGCATATGTATATGTAGATATATGTAAATACATGAAAATATTATTAGAATAAGCACTTTTTTTTTAACGAAAATTGCACTTTAGCACCAGCTGCGATCGTTCAGTTGAAAAATAAAAAAAAAATTTAAGTTTATTACAGGAAATTAATTTTTTGTTTAAATAAATTTTATTACATTCATGAAAAAAGGCGTGAGTACCAAGTACCTACTCATGAAATTTTATGTGCAAAGCGTTGTGCGATTCAGTTATGTACATGAAACAGTAATTTAATTTCATTTTGTCGGGACCCGTACACGACTTTTTCATAACCGCTTCGGGCAGAGTTCATGACTAATTCATGATAATTTCGCTACTAGTTTCGAACTCCCCGCAATCATCCCGAACTAGTGCCAAATTTGTACTGAAGTAGTTCTGAAAAAGTCGCGAGCTTGTCCCAAATTATCTCTTGCAAGTCTTGAAACGGTCTCCAAACAAGTCTTGAACGGATCATCCCTTACTAGTCCTAAAATTATCGCAAACTAATCCTGAAGTTGTCCTGAACTAGGCCAAAAATGATTCCGAACTAATGCTGATATGTTGCTGAAATAGCTCTGAGCTAGCCTCAAAATAGTCCAGCAAAAGTTTTAAAATGGTCCTCAAATAGTCGGAGCTAGTCGCAAAATTTACTCAAATAGCGCTGAACGAGTCCAGTCCAGATTTTCTTGCGAGTTGCACAGGCAACAGTTAAAGATTTTCTGATGGGTTAACGCAAATTTTACCCATACCGAGAGCTAAGATGGTTTACACATAAAAAAAATTGTTACTAAGTCTTGCGCCTAACAATTTTGGTGATCGGTAAGTTCATGGATATCCCAAATATTCACGGCCCAAACCGACAAATGATTGTAGTGCCAAATAAAAAGACATGGCAAATTTTCGTTTCATTGAATAGAAATTGTCAGAAATAGAATAAGTACTTCCTTCGGTGCATGTTTACTTTTTCTTGCTTTCTGCCTCAAAATGTTAGCTTTTGCTGGACTTGGCAACTTCTCGCTCGCTCTAAGCGAGTAAAGTATATTACGAGCGTTCATTTGAACTTTCACATTTGCAATCAGGTACTGCAGCAAATTTACGATTTCTATTGTTTTTGCTGAAATTAAAATGTCATTATTTTTAATTACCATTTTCTTAAAATTCTAACTTATTTTCGTCGTCCGAACGAAAACATCTTTGCAGCTTTAAGATGCAATCAAGCGTTACTTTTTCGTTTTTTTTTTTTTTTTTAATTCCCATTGAAGTACTTAAGTATTGCGAAATCTACAGAAATAAACATAGTAAATATATATGTATGTGTACATTAAACTCTATGTAAGAATAGAAGTGTGTATACAGTGGTCACTCGCTGTACTGACCAAGAAATTAAAATTCATTCATTCATTCATTCTAACGGAAGCGGATTTCAAACACATCGAGTATGGAGCTCGACATTTAAAAAGTGGCCTCACACGGCACTATGTTGTGTATATGCTAAGATTAGAAAGCCTTGATTTCCCCAATAAGTAGCATTTTAGACGAACTTAACTAATTTTTTATTTTTTTATTTTACGTAAACAAATTTTTTGGCATTCTAAATTTTATATCAACACATCGCTGTTATACTGGAAAACAAAAATTTTAAAGAATTATTTAGAGAGACTTGTCGGCGCATTTGCTATGCTGTGGAAACAATTCATAGAAAAGATTTATCATTACCTTGCAAATTATAAACGTCAACGTGCAAGTCATTACCAAGTAATTTAACATATATGT